CAAAGAGAGTCGGGGAGACACAAAGGGAGGCTGGCCGGAAGGGATGGGGCAGGGAGGAATGGCAAGTTGAGACTTTAAGGGATAAAGTGAAGAAGCGTTGGTGGGTGCAGACAGACACACAGATAGTTAGAGAGGTAAGACACAGATAGACACACGGACACATATACACAGCCACAAGATTAGATAGATAGATAGATAGATAGATAGATAGATAGATAGATAGATAGATAGATAGATTGATAGATAGATAGATAACCAACATATAAAGAACATAAAAAATGGCAACAAGCAACCAAACAACGTATCAATCAACCAATCAGCGTATCAATAAAAAAAATCAATCAATCAACCAACCAACCAAAAGACCAATCAACCAATCAACCAACCACCCCCCCTCCCACCCACCCACCTATAATACAGGCGTCAGGCATGGCACAAGCCATCCTGTTACTCCCGTGCCACCTCAATACCACTACCAACCAGTCAGTCAGTCAGTCAGTCACCCCTCCCCGCCAAACCTGATCCACCCACCTATAATACATGCGTCGGGCATGGCACAGGCCATCCTGTTACTGCCATACCACCTCAGTAGCGGCACCTCCCACAGGCCGGGGTAGGAGCGGGTGGGGCACGGGGTGAGGGAGCAGGTCTTGCTGTCTGGGGGCGTGTCCAAGGTGAAGGGCCACAGCGGGGGGCGGTCGTTCACGTACAGGTCACCTGGTGGGCAGAGAGGAGGAAAAAAACCAAAACCGATTCTTGTCAAAGAATTTGACAGTAACAATGACAATGACAACAATGACAATGACACTATTTATCATTATCCAAACTCTTCTCAAAATTGAAGCAAACTCTTGTCATTGGTCACATGGTGGTCAGGTTGGAAAAAAAAATATTTAAAAAAAAAGAAGAAAAAAAAAAAAAAAATATGTATATATATATAGATAAATCAAAATGTATATAGATAGAGAAAGAAAGGGACAGAGAATAAAAAAAGTGGTACAAATACACGAGACCTCCCCCCCCCCCCCCCCAAATGGCGAAAAACACACACAAAAAACTGCACAGGAACACTTCTCCAAGGAAACCAAGTTTTTTTACCTTTCTTTCACAGTGGCCACGGGAGGAGTCATACCGGAACTTGTTCTCCTTCAGCATGGGAGCGCCCCCCCCCCCCCTAGAGGGAGAAGGGGCAACGGAAATAGCCCCCATAATGACCAGAGGGGAGGGGGGAGGAAAAAAATTTTAAAAAAAATTATATAATTATTTTTTTTGGTTTTGGTTTTTATTTTATAAGAGGACTCTTTCACACATACTTGCCAAGTTAAAGTAGAACTGATTTCGACCTTCTCTTTTCTATTTCCTATTTGATTTATTCCTGTGTAAATGTACCCCCAATCCCAACCCCACCCCGCTTTTAAAAAAGTTTAAATATTTCAGTCTGGGTTTATTTTGCTCGCTTTTTGTTTTTTCTTTCTTTCCCTCACCTCCTATCTCTCTCTCCCTCTCTCCCCTCTCTCCCCTCTCTCTCTCTCTCTCTCTCTCTCTCTCTCTCTCTCTCTCTCTCTCTCTCTCTCTCTCTCTCTCTCTCTCTCTCTCTCTCTCTCTCTCTCCCTCTCTCGTCACATCATTAACAAATTATGCAAGCTCTTCTCAAAATCATCAAACGCATGTCAAAATCTCAAACCAATAGAAAATGAATCTCCTGTATATTTATTATATCTATTTTATATTTATTGAAAAGATTATTAGAAATATTAGTATTATTATTATGATGATTATGATTATCACTAATAGTCTTAGTTTTATTAGTATATATACGGGGATTCGGATTTTCATTATTAGAATTATTAACCTTATCTCATGTATATTTGTTTGTAAAGATCTATGTCGTACAAATGTGTGGTGGCAGAATCTCAAAGGAAGTAATTTTTTTTCTGAGTCGTGCTAGGGGAATCGCAAAAATGGGGACCCAAATATACTATATCTCTAAAAGACGTCCAAAAACTGTGAAAGCGCGTCTCATAATTATTC